ATGAATTTTAAGAGCAAAATGGGCGACTGAATTCATTTTTTAAAAAATTTTAATATATTAGCCTTAAAATTTCGGGTCGGGTCGGGTCGGGTCGGGTCGGGTCGGTTTCGGTTCGGTTCGGGTTCGGGTCGGGTTGAAGCTCTAACCCGAAAGTTTTCAACCCGACCCGAGCCGACCCGTTCGGAGCACTAATTACGACAAATATTACACTTATCTTTCTATTATCCCTGATTACAAAAGTGAATTCAGTGGCAGAGGAACTGAAGAGCGATCGTTAGATAAGTGAACATGTAACCAGCTTATGTGACATTTGACAATCAACGACTATCAATTCATCCGTCCTGTAGAAGATCCAAAAAAATACATCAAATGCAAAAAAAAATATTTACAAGTCTAGGCAAAAAAAATGCAAATACGAAAGCTTTTTATTGAATTTGATTCGCATTTGGATTTCCTTCGTATTCAATAAAAAAATGTATAAGGTATTATAGGTATTATTGTAGTAGCGATTTTAATGTCAATTGCAATGGCTACTTCAACTTTTATATGTTCATTATATAAAAAAAATGAATGAATAAATTTCTTGGAATTCAATGAAATTTTGGTCGTAAATTCTGCACGAAAGTACCATATATCGTTAAAATTGTAGTAATATCTAACAATACACAAACGATCTGTTACAACACACGTACAGAAAAAAAAAATCGAAATTATTGTTATAACCAAATAAATCTTTAACCAAATATATGGTTAAAACTACAGTTTAGACCTGATCAACCAAAAATATTAAAATGTACAAACTCTAATTAATAGGTATTACATTTTAGAGTTACTATAGCTATCATTTCATTGATTAGATTTTAGGATAACGTGAATAAAATTTGAATTTGAAATGATTGATAAATTCTTTCGTTACGATCGTTCATTATAGTCTTTGGCGATCAATTCATTCGCGCAGTAAAGGATTCGGCAAAATGACTAATCAATATGAGTGCCGCCAAGGGAAAATGGTACTTCGGGGTTTCAATTGTATTTTATGCCGGACATAATCCTTAATAAATTAGATAAATTGTGTCCGATACAAAATATAATTGAAAGTCCGAAGTTACATTTTCCCTTGCCAGCACTCATATAGAAGAATAATTGTAAACATAAGATTAATGAACAAGTTAAGGTAAACCTTGTCATAATTTCGATATTGCAACTAGATATGGTGTTTCATTTTTAAATAATCAAAGTAGCAATTGATCATTGCAAAATCTTAAATTAACTGTCTTTATAAAAGTGTCAAATGAAAAATTTCCGAAAAAGTTGATGCAGTTTAGTCAATGTATGTACGTACATAATTCATAATAACTGAAAAGAAATATTTGTGCATCAATCTGCTTGTTATACGTATTTCATTAAACCTGTAAAATTAACATTGTTCACTCAATGGGCGTATTCTTATATATATGGGAAGATGGATCAGTATATTCTATCATATAGTTGCAATAGAAGTTCACTTTACAACAAATTACATCACAATAAATGTTAATTGTAAGATAAAGCGAAGCAGTTACATCAAAGTACATTTTAATCAAATTTTAATTTAGAAATGCTAAATTAGTTAATAAATTTTTAATTTTTAATTTCATTTAATTATCCATTTTATTCTTTTATTTAAAGAATTCTCCACTATTGCGTGGAGTTCTAAAAGTAGTTGGGCGATGAACCTCAGTATATAGAGAAAGAGATGGAATGTTTTCACATGATTGCTGAAGAGATTGAAGTGGGTTTTCATCATCGATTTGGTTTATCATTTCAATGACATTACTAACGATTTTCTATTAAAAAAATTTTTTTTCAGATTTTAATAACAGTTTCAGTATTTGTGACAGAATTAGATTAAAATATTAGGATTAAAAGTTGTCAACAGAAAAGTATAACTGAATTTTATATAACATAAAAAAGCATTTTTATTTGAATGAGCTACATTAATTTATTCGCAAAGTACAAACCTTTGCTTTCCATGAAAGCATAATGACAGGGAGAACCCTAGCACCAAATTCACTAATAGTTGATGGAATAGTTAACATCTTAGAACGAGTAATTCTACCAATATACCCTGCAGGAGAGTCTAATCTTAACAAAAGCATTGAAAGCCCTAAAAAGTTTGATAAAATTAGCTGAAGCCTAAGCGGCAATATATATATATATAGTGTATAACATTCCTGCATGTATAAAGCCAATAGTTTCAAGTTTTCTAATTTTCTTTTCATTCCATTTAGTATAAACACATAAGTCATCAAACTGATCTTTCATCATCTTTGGCGTTTTTAAGCCTCTTTCTCGTAGGATTTTTGTACCATTATAACCTACATATAAATTACCTATTTCTCCACACCCATATTCCATAGACATGCGACGAATTATCAAATCACCTCGTCTGCCCATAATTTTTCTTGGAATTGAATCTACAGATGCAACTCTTCTATTTCTATTTTTTCGGGATGACGAAGCCAGACTACAAGACTCTCCCCTGTTTACAAAATAATAAGTATGCTGGATTCTATTATACATATAACTAATAGTGTTTTTTACCTTATTGCTTGAACACCTTCTATATTTTCAAACGCTCTATCTACAAATAACCATATATGTGATAATAACCATACTTCTAAATGATCTTCTTTTTTTAGGCTATCTACTTCATATTCACGAATCCTATATAAAAAAGTGGAAGAATTAATATTTAATGCTAACTTTTAGATAAAAAGAATATTCACTTACAGATTATCAATAGTATTTCGTATCCAATCTTTGTCAAAATCTTTCTGTCTATTATAAGATATCTTCCATGACTCTGATTTAAAGATTTGCATTCTGAGATCAGAAATAGTAGACTATTTAAATAAGGTTATTGAAAGCATTATTAATAAATAACTATTCAAATAGGGTTATCGAAAGCATTAATGATTAAAATACTAAATATCATAATGCATTGCCTTTAGTATCAGGGTCATATCAAACATGATATATGATTACGACTGGTGGATATTGTGACTTAAGAAAAATATTATAATTTATTTTTAACTAAATATATTTGTAATATGCCTGGGGCAAAAATAGCATTCATGATGGATCGTCGGTACTGTTCCTGATAGGGTAATAAACAAATGTTGATTCATACCGTTCCTGATAGGGTTCTAAAAAAAGGGTCTCTAAAATGCTATACTACTATTACGAAATATATGAAAAAAGGTAGGATTAGGGTTCATCTATCAGGAACAGTAATCAATAAATTTCTTTTTTTAACTCCATCAAGATCGGTACTGACGATCCATCAGGAATGGTATTTTTGCATATCTGGAAATTATCTAAGGGGGTATTAAATAAGGAGATATTAAAGGCAGTGCATTACAGTAATATAAAAAATACATACCAATTGGTAACTACCAAGATATTCTAACAAATCTTGAGGCATATCCGGAAGTGATTTAAGTTTATGTGTACGAATTTCCATGAGTTCAAGTTCAGTAAAGACTTTTTCTTCAATAAGGCTTTTGTCATCTGGGTCAATAATAAATGAGTGGCAAAGACTTTTGACGTGTTAATAGTTTAATTTAAAAGATAATTTTTTAATTAATGCAAGTACTCACTGCTCATAACTGCATTTCATGCCAAACTTATATAACTCGTCTTCAACAACTTTGCCAGATCTTAATACCCATTTTTTGTTGTCATCAAGTTCTTGAAATGCCTTTGTAAAATTATCATAATCCATATTTGATACCCGATTTTGCTCTATACCATTATTATCTATCACCAAATCTGGTTCTGTTGGTCTATTTGATTTTGCAACTGAAGAATTAGAGATTTCATTTATTTCTTTATTCACTTTAATCTAAATAATCCAAAACATAAAAAGAATTTTTTTAAAATTTAATAATTATCAATACTTTTAAATAAAATGAATATAATCACTATTTTAGATTTTTCTTGATATTCTTGATATTCTCGATATTCTTGGTATTCTAGATCAGAATCTGATGCCGAACTTGAACTTTCACAATAATTTACTAGTTTACGTTTCCTAAGCACCCACTTAGGTTCTTCCTAAATAAAAAGCAATATATTTATAGCTAATAATTTTTTTATAACTATAAAATAATCACCGCTAAGGGCTTACCTTTTCTTTGCTTTCATTATAGATTGTACCTTTGTTAAAATTTACTATTTCATTGGTCCATTTATCAACTTCTGCAGTGGTAACTTTGGCGGCACCTTTTTGATATTTTGTAACAGTCTTTTGCTAATAAAATAAACAGAAATTTGAGTCATTCTTATAGTAAGAAAAATAAAAATCAATAAACACGTACTTACAAACTGAACTTCGCGAATATTCTTCTGTTTAGTGGACGTCTTTGTATAATTTCGGATTTGAAGTCGTGTTTTCCATATCTCCCAAGGTGAAAAAGAAAAACAATATAATATTAGGTTTTAAAGATTTATATAAATCAGCTTTAAAAAAATGAGTAGAAGAGCACATCTATTTGCGCAACAGTTGGTATTCTTACTAATGGACTATTGCGAAAATAGAAGCACCCACGAATGGAGTGGTTTAGGTCCGAGTGACCCGCAGTCCCCAGACTTCCGAACTTGAGTGACCCGCAGTCCCCAAGCTGCCACCGATCAGGAACATGTAAGTGACCCGCAGTCCCTACAGCCTTCTGATCTTTAAGCCTTTTAAACTTAAACAAGAGGCTCTTATCCTTCTACATGCATATATATATACACCTATGTGATTTACTCACGTTCCAATTATCTCTGATGTTTCTCAATACACGCGTAATTTGCTCATTAAGTAACTGAGAATCGAGGGTTTCCTCTAAATCCTTGCCTAGCGCGTCATATACTTTTTGAAAGCTGTAGTTTGGCATTTTCTGTACATAATAATCAAAAACACTTTCAGCATCTATAGAATTAACCGTGGATAAGACATCACGTTGGAGAAGGTATTGTAAAAGTGGTCTTCCGGTTAAATGTTCCACTGTAAAATAAAAAATTAACCAAGCTGTAATGGTTTAAACAAAAGACTTATTTCACATACTTTGTTGTTTCGATCGTTATAATCGTAGTAACAGGAAATGAGTATGAACTTTGCATGAATATGATAAATGATAATCGCGTAAAAAATGATTTTATTGGGTTGTGGTGTTTACGTTGTATATGCGCCTGACTAAAATTAAGCCCCTGAAATTAGATCTTCATGCATGCGACATATATGCGTACATACTAATGGTTGAGTAACGATTTGAGTGAAAACCTGGAAACCGATTTAATGATTTACTATGATCGGTTTCAAGGTTTTCACTCTCACGCACTCATTTTATAAATTTAGCTAAAATTTCTAAGATTAACAAAAATAGGTATGATCGATGATTAAATCTTTACGTAATCAATTTATCAATTTATTTTATCAGCATCATAATATATCAGACTATGAAAACTTTATTGACAAATTTGATATGTTCTTGCTCGTCCATGTTAGTATTGATCGGTTTTCTTTAATGATTAAATATCCGATATTCTGAAATCTTTAAATAATCGTAAATTGCAATTTATGAATTCTTATTTTCTATAGTTTGTGTAACTTTGTCTAGTTTAGTAATTTATGAATTCTTATCTTCTAGTTTATATAACTTTGTCCATTTTAGCAATTTATGAATTCTTACCTTCTATAGTTTATATAACCTTATCTATTTTATAGATAAAAAAATTTTGTTCATTATGAACAATAGTACAAAATTTTGTGCTGATTATCTTGCAAAATTTAAAAAATTGAGTAGAGGCTTATGATGTATTATCATTGATCCTTGACTTGTTTACTTTTAATCTATCTTGCCTATTATCTCAAGAATGTTTTAAACTTTCAAAAAGAGAAGAAAATTTATGTTGTTAGAGGAACATGAATTACCGATGAATTTGCATTTGAAGAAATTTGTCATTGTGTTTTTAGTGTAATTACCAATTCCTCAGTTCATTTTTTATTTTTATTTATGACTGCTTTAAAATTGTTCAGGAATCTCTACGCAGGATAACATACAAGATCAAACCTTTAAGCCTGATGACATGACATCATTTCAGATCCTGAGGTATTTCAATCAATCCATTATTCTGTTATATGGGAATGTATTCTTTCAATAGTCAGATATTCACGCATTATTTTTTGATTTTCATTTCAATTACAAAAAATCAGCAAAAGCACTTTAAGAATTCTGGCTGCATTTCTTGGCAACTAGTGATGCAACATATTCATTTAAAGACTTTATTGCCCCTGACAAAAATATTAGGTTATTACATTTTATTTACATTCAAGAATCGTTTATATTCACATACTGGAAAACATTTAGGTAGTAGTTCAATTACTGCTTCATTAATCAAGACGTTGAATAGGAAACCAGATGGTGTAATGGCAATGCCAAATAAAATTAGGTTGTTCTGCGAAAAACGATTTTTTGTTTTTTTTTAAAAAAAGAATTCTAAACTATATAAACAATGTAAAATTAAATTGAATTTATTAGCCAATCAAACGAATTTCTGCCTATGAATTTTACATAAGTGATAGATAGATCCGGTTCCGTTCATTTAGGGATGGTAAAAAAACATATGATGATTAATGATCAATTATATTAAATTCAAACCTAGATCATCTCATGATCTAAATCGGTGAAAAATAATTTTTTACCATTCCTACGTTCATTTCATGACTGACAGCTTATTTCACCGACAATCATCAATTCACCGACAAATATTTCAACGACAGCCCATTTCATCAAATTTTTTAAAAAAAATTGCACTAACCTTAGCTCATTCTAGTCTGACCTAACAAAAATGAAAAGAATTACTTTGTCAGTGGATTGAAATGAGAATTTCCTTATGTCGAGTTGCCGGCCAAAAAGATATGGGTTGTGGGATATCAAAAAGTATCTATATATCTAACATTAACAATCGTTTCCTATAAGTAAAATTTCATTCTGAAAACTTTTACTTAGAGGTCGGAAGTTAGTCATCATAGTAAATTTTTGGTTTATTTACGTTTTTTACAATTTCTTATGTTTTTCTCATTTGGTTTGTTACACTAGATCCTGTGATTTTATTGGATCCGGATAATCTTCTGCCTAGTGTTTTGAACCTCATAGGCAGAAATTTGTCTGATTGGCTAGCTTCGTAGATCAATTTGTTCTAAAAGCGAAAACTTAAAGAAAAAGTTATATAAATCGATAAATACGTAAGATTTATTGGTTTATATACGTATAAAAGATAGATAGATGCATATAGAGTAGAGTCAAAATGGTAAAACAAAGCTTGAATTACTAACTCTACTATTTATAAACCCAGGTTGATATCTATAGTTAATAAACCCATACACCAAGTCAAAAATATCTTAAATATAAAGCATAGACCTTATAAGCGAACAAGTTTGTTTTGCTTCAAACATCTAACTTGAAATCTCAAGCTTTAAAAAAAAAGACAACTGCTTTGTTAATAATTACTTTTGTTTTTGTGCATTTTAAAATTTAGACGTAGCTTTTTTTTCTTTACCTCTTGCGGAAAGTCGTGTCTAAGCCAACCCCTCTTAAATTAGAGATTATTAGAGATTATTTTTAAAGTTAGCTTTCTAGTACTTCTTCGAAGCTAAAGATGCTGTTTTTTAAGAATGGTTACTTGTGTAATGTTGCGTTCTCAAAAAGTACTCTAAAACACATAAATAAGTTACCCAGGCAATTGATTTACATTAACCAATCAGACGAATTTCTGCCTATGATTTGGAACCGGTTTATTTTTCTTACGTATGTTAAATCCGATCCGATTAAAACCGGTTTTAACATAAGAAAAATAAAACCGGTTCCAAACATTACTTCAGCCCAGGATTCAAAACGACAATTGTTATTCCTTACCGTTACCGTTACTAAAAATATTTAATAATTTTTCGAACCAATCATAGTTCCTACAAAATGACAAAGTTACCGAACGAATGCCTAATTGAATATTTAATAATTTTCGAACTAATTACAAAACTTTATTTTCGTGCCTTCTGGTAAACCGTCGATGGTGTAAAATTATTATACCAATATTATGGAGTTAACCGACAAATTATATTGGTGATGAAAAACTTATAAGAATATATCTTTTAACATTAAATATTGAAGAGTAAGCTCTATTGAACTCCTTTAAAATTAATCTTCCAACTTATCCAAAGCCATTATTTGAGTATGAAACTTATACTACATCTATTGGTCCTTATTTGGCTGACGGAATCGAATTTTGGCTTAAGGATGAAGGATATTCTAATGCAAATTATGTTACAAAATATATTGAAACTTGCAAATGCTATAAAATACTCTTTAGTTGTAATGTTTCTGCGATCAAGTAAAAATCTTAAATATTTAAGACTTGACAATACTATTAATCAAACATTAGTTAATACACTTTGCAAGAATACTACGCTGACTTCTTTGAATATTAGTAATAATAATCTTGGATCAGGAGGAGGAAAAGCATTGGCAGATGTTTTTTGCAAAAACACTATACTGATTTCATTAGATCTTAGCTATAATAATCTTGGTTCAGAAGGAGTAAAAGCATTAGTAGATGCACTTTACAAATACCACGCTGACTTATTTGGACCTTAGCTATAATGATCTTCGGTTAGAAGAAGGAAAAGCATTAGCCGATGCACTTTGCAAAAACGCTATACTGACTTCATTAGATCTTAGCTATAATAATCTTGGTCCAGAAGGAGTAAAAGCATTAGCAGGTGCACTTTACAAGAATACCACGTTGACTTATTTGAACCTTGGCTATAATGATCTTGGATCAGAAGGAGGAAAAGCATTAGCTGATGCACTTTACAAGAATACCACGTTGACTTATTTGGACCTTAGCTATAATGATCTTGGGTTAGAAGAAGGAAAAAAAACATTAGCTGATTCACTTTGCAAGAATACCACGCTGACTTATTTGGACCTTAACTATAATGATCTTGGATTTGAAGGAGGAAAAGCATTAACAGATGCACTTTGCAAGAATACTACACTGGCTTCTTTGAATCTTGATGGTAATAATATTGGAGTAGGAGGAGTAAAAGCATTAGCAGATGCGCTTTACAAGAACACCACGCTGACTTTTTTGAATCTTAGCTATAATAATCTTTGGTCAGAAGGAGGAATAGCATTAGCGAATGCACTTCGCAAGAATACCACACTGACTCGTTTGGACCTTAAATATAATTATCTTGGAAAAGAAGGTAGAAAAGCATTAGCTGATGCTATTCGCAACAATACCACATTGGCTTTGAATCTAGCAAATTGATATTACTTGTAATATAAAATTTTCATAATGCAAGTACTGAAATAGAATCAAAAGAATGTATGCCACGTTGGCACGTACGCTAAATGAGATTAGACAATCGATAGAGTAAAAAAAAAAAAAAAAAAAAAAAAGAGATAAATTTATGTATTTTACTTTATGTATTATACCATGTATTCCATTTTTATAAATTGTATATTTTATTATTACTTTTGTTTTGCGTTTTCATTGGTTAGCTATTTTTGAAAATAATTTTAGTAGAAACGGAATTACGTAGATCCACACTCACTCAAAATATCGCTGACATGCTATTACTACAAATTACCAAATTTCCGACTAAGCTCGCCATTGAAAACGAAGAGTATGTTAAAGCGTTACTTTTGACCCCCTGACGCGAAAGAGATGTGGATACCTGGTGTTGGATTCACAACCCAATTTGACATTGAAAAACCATGGACTTCGTGTTTCCCTACCCACAGTCCAAAGGACTTCGCGACTATAATTTGGTCATTCCGATCTAGGATGCAAATTGTTGCCGAGAATGCCAATCGCAAAGACTACGAGACCAACAGGTCTAAAGTTTTAGGACATAGCCTCTTCTAGTACTTTACCAAATACTACGACATTAGGCCTGAACCTCTAGACGAGATGCTATTATTTGAATGCGCTGAGAAAAATGACAAAGTTCGTGGAGCTATAGCCTTATCAAATCTGGTCCAACTCGTCAATTCTATGGACCCTGATAGCGACCCACTCACTGTGACCACCTTTTTGAAGGCCCAGGGTCTTAAGAAACTCAGCAAATTGTTAAACCTGCCAAGGCCGAACAAATGATCACACAGGTTAAAGAGAAAATCATTCTTTCCAACTTTAATTGTATATTTATCAGATATTAAATAAGATCTATTATTTTTTTTTGAGTTTTTGCAAGAATATATAATGAAGGATAATGTTTTTCAGAAAGAATTATATAATTATATAATTATAAGTGCCTATAGATAAGCTTTTGTATTCAGTTTCAGGTTTTATAAGTATTCATAAATTTTTAATGAGTTGTTATTTTTTTGTTGTCATAATTATTGAGAATTTAAAATCCAATAAATGCTAATTAAAAGAAATATAAAATTAAAAAATGTAGAATTAAAAAAAATTTTAAACCAAAAAACTTTATAATTAAAAAAGATACATTTTATATTTATTAACAAATATTATGCAATTATTACTTATAATGTTATAATCGAAAAATAAGGATAATTTACTGATATAATTTTATATTATATGTACTGAAAGTGGGTAAACTAATTCTGATCTTTACTTAAGGTGTACGATTTGGTGAATACATTTTTTTTGCTACTTTACTATTTATCTTTTTACTACCACTAAAATTATATTAACTATATTTATTTATTTGATAGTTCCTTTATTATGATTTTTAATTCTTAAAAGTATACCAAAAGATAAGTAAAACATTATATATTCTTATCTTTTATATTACCTTATAAATAATTTTTTTACTAATGGTTTCGTTTTTGTATATTAGGTTTTTTCATCACCGATTGTTCACCATTTTGCTAATCTGAAACCTTATTGTCATGTTTTCTGATTTGGTGCATCTAATTGGGTTTGATTGTTATACTAGTTATAGTTTATTTCTTCCTGCATGTACGTACGTACATACGTAATGAGTTTTATTAAAGTCTATCGAATATTTCACCCCAGCTAGTTGGTCAATACCCCAAAATTTTGGAGGTTGTGTAAAAATCCGTCGTTATGAGTTTCTGAAGTCAATATTGCATATAATTTTTGATATGTGAGTATCGTTGACCAGAACTTTCATAGAGCCGGTACATAAAGTCTGGTAATGGTGGCACGCTTTAGCGCCGTTGCACGATTTAATGTAAAAAGTTACGTACGTAAATATGTATACGCATACGTACAATTTTGTAATTTTATCTGTTATTGAGTCTATTATACCGAAATTACAAACTTTCCCGAATCGGCTGAAAAATCATTCGACCAATTTTTATTCAGGATAATAGCTGTAATCAAGCCCCGAAAAAAAATTTCTGACCCCTGATCTGTACCGATAATGAGTCCACCCCCGACACATCTCATTAGACATAGGAATTTATTAAAATGTCGCATCAAAACTTGGGAAATGTTGATTATCTCAGTAAAATCTATATTTACATATGAGTAGTCAAATTTTTCAAATTTTGGGGTATTTCGTAAATGCGCCGTAATGGATTGACTATGTTCTTGGTCATCGTAAAAGTCCTCATTTTCATTTAACGATACCAACCTAAAAAAATTCGCCAAAAAAATATCACTGCTAGATCATTGTTATATTTTACTATTAAGTTATAAAGAGGTTTTCTAACATCAAAATTTAGAAAGGAAACCTTTTTATTAATGCGCAGAAGGCAGTTTCATAGGCAAAATGTTGAGTTATGAACGATTTTTTGGTTTGTTTTGATTTTTTGCGTTTCTTCTGATATATTCAAAAAGAAATTTCTATTTTTTTGTAATTATTGTGCTAATATCCAATAAATTATAGCTAATATATAATAAATTATAACTAATATACAATAACTTTTTACAATAAATTATAAATGGTGCGAAGAATTATTATGAGATTATAAATATATCTAATTTATTTAGATATATGGCTATTTTGTTTTTAAAGTGTTTAAGTAAAGTCCATTATTACACAGGTTCATTATTGCATAGTTTTTTTCTAAAGGTCGACGCCCTTGTGTTGGTTTTTTGGAAGTATTATGGTTATCGTGTTTAGAAACAAAGTACACAATGTTAATCGGTTGAAGAATCTAGACTTTGATAAAAAAAATTATATTATAATCGGCACATCCATTAAGAAAAACTCGATTATATATAAATCAAAAAATAAAAACCTCATCATCGGATTCTTGATTTGGTTCATTGTTTTCCGAGATTCTATATTCCTATAATATAATAAATTCATAAAAATATATTATAAAATAATAATAATAATAATAAGAAAAACACGACACGCGTAATATTTACATTATTAGTATAATAAATAAAGTTTCTTCGATAATAAAAAGCGTGTATAACTAATTTCTTTTTTAGAATCAGTAGATCTTATTTCGTAAAAAATCCTTTAAGTTATAAAGGTACTCGTTGTGCTCAAGATAATTGTCTTGATAATCTACCCGTTTATTTTTACTAGTTTAATGTCTTCTATTTATAATGTATTGTCTTAGTGAAATATAAAAAAACAAATACGTACTAGATCGGATTTTTCTTTTTATGTATTGCACCACTAGCTACTAGCCAATTAAATTTGCCGATTATTTGTGTGTATAGGTATATGAAATTGTGTTACAATTCCGAGAAAGCTTAGCAACCAGATTTAATACGAATCGTAAACATTAAAGTATGTAGGAACGTTAATTAGTTTAAAGGTATTTATTCTCTTTCATTGTCAATTTCCTTATTGAAAGGTATTTATTACTAGTGAAAAGAACCCCTTTATATAGCTTTCTATTAACACTAAAAGGAAAGAAAATTATTACGCAATAAGTTTAACTCTATGAAAAATGTAGTCATAGCTATGGAAAGTATAATAAAATAAAAATTAGTTAGTTTAATTAAAAGAACGGAAATCATTGCGTAAATACTAATTCCTCATAGTAAAAATTATTAAATTACCGAGTAATAATAATTTTTTGCCGGTCATTATTCTTAATTCCATATATAATTTAAATTACAAACTACTGAACTATGTAGATACAATTATATTTTGTTGAATTTTTCGTAACGTGTAACAAAAATTGTTCGCTAAAAGCTAACTATAAGAAAATAGAAAAGTAGCTCGGTTACTTTAAAGAGCGCGCCGAGAGGAATTCGATAAATATAATTTCATGCACATAAATTCATTAGCTTAGAATTAGCTTGTAATCGGATCGATTGAACTCCTATTAGAGTTAAATTAATTACTATATAAATAATGCTGTAAAATATGAATTCCTAAATACTTGTATTTATAAATATTCTTTATACTCAATAATTTAACGCAAATAAAGTAAAATTATATTGTAAATTTTAATGAACTTTAATTGTGGACGTTTACATCCATCATTATTTTGCCAAAAGATTTTACTTGGAATAATGCAAATTTTAAAATTTTATTTTACACAGTTTCATAAAGGTTATGATTTACGCTTTCATAGTTACTCCCAATATTTGAGACGATTAACCATCATCCCACTGATCTTGTATCCCACTGACCTTGTACGTTGTCATCTCTCATGTTTTATTATTAAAATACCATTTTAATTCTATGAATTCAATTTCGAGAATACACTTATTTTGTTTCGGTCTTTTACGTCTTACGGTTAACGACACGATATAACTTGACTTGATTGATCATACCAATTCTTTGGCAATTTAACTGTTGAACTTTTCACAAAAGAATCCGATTAAACAAAATCTCAAATAGATCCTTCAAATATCAATTAAGTATATTCATGATTTCATATAATTATTTTTGTAATTATTTTCGTAGTTCAAATCCTTAATATAAGCCATATGTCGTTCAACCTGAGTCTTAGAAAAAAGCCTTAAGAAGTTGATGGCTTATAAGTGTTAAATAAGGGGGAAAACATCACAAAGTTGTTTTTTTATAAACTTTATATAGCTCTATAAAGTTATATAAATATTATATAAAATTTTTATATAGGTCTACAAACCCAATGTAGACTTATATAATAAAAATTTTTATACATAAACTACGTAATTTCTATATATAATATTATTTATTAGTCATATAAATATAAAACCTATGCAAATTTTATTTATATCTATATAAAAATAATTTAATTTATTTCAGCAATTTCTCAAAAGTGACCAAGGTAATCACCGATCGATGCACTAAGTAAAAATGTTCAGCATGCTCGAAAACCTTCCCCAAACCCCTAATTTAAACTTTAAAATCCAATCCAAGCTTTAATATTTAAGTTAAAATTTTTTTGTTATTTTATATAATTCTACGTAGAAATATATATAGCTTTATTTAAATAGATATGTAAACCTACATTGGGTTTATAAAGTTTTTGTAAAGGTGTATAAAAATTCTACATAATCTTACATAAAAATTCTATATAATCTTACATAAAAATTTTACATAAAAATTCTACTACATAAAAACAACTTCGTGACGAAACTGTTAAAAACAAACAAGTAATACTTATACTGTTCGACCAAATCATACGCGTCAACCGAAAAAGCCTGATTACCAAAATTTGTTGATTACTTCTTTAACATTACGTGCGAAAATTAAATTTTTGACATTAAATTATTTCTGCTTGCAACGTTGGTTATACCAAAATGAAACACGTTGTATAAGTGGCCTGTAGGACGAAAATCATAGAAATATAAAAATTAAGATGGTAAAATGTCTAATAAATGACATCTTAAACAATAATCAAATGATACAGTATTAAAAAGTAAACAAAAGAGTTAGTGGGACCCCGTAGCATTTTTATTGCAAATCTAATTATTTTGCTTAAAAAAATAAAAATTTCCTAGATTTCTCTTGTATTCTCGCTTTTCTAATACTGTATCTAGCTATACACAAAAACTGGCTGTAGATTTGGCTAAATAAGATTGGAAATTTCGAAGTCTTTTTACTACTAATCATAAAGAAATAATAATTTGCAATGCTGCTTTTATCGCTATAAAACCATCTACTTTTAATTATAAGTTATAAAATTTTACTAGAACTTTCGAAACTGACCATATTGATATTGGTAAATCTTCGTTCAACATTTGAAAAATTTATTTACAATTAG